GGAATGATATGTTTATGAATCTTGCGAATCTGAGTAGCTTTCTAACTTGCCCTTCGAGTAAATATTGTCTGAGTGCCTTGTGCTTATTTTTGGCAGATAATCTTAAGAGTTAAGCAGCATATGACATTTCCATTTGTCGTTGAGGTTTTAAAAGTTGATTAACTGTAATTTCAGAACCATCCATGGGTTAATTACCAACCCATGTTGAGAAAGTGTTTCGTTGGCACTTACCATGGTGATTCTCTACTGGTCAAGGAAGAAAAAACTAACGTTGCGGCGATAGACTGCGAAGACAACTTTAAGTAAGTTTCTGTGCTTACTTGCGACAATAAATATGACTTTTGCCACAGCAAACATTGCCTAAGTCATTCTGAAAAGCCAAAAGCGTCAGACATAATTAATCTGGGTACTTTGTTCTTGATTGTGGTACCTGAGATGATTATGGTAAACAGAACAAGTTATATTATGCTAAATAGGATTGTTCATGACGCGACTAACCTCTTATAGGTTCGCTTGGAGCCAGGACTGCGGTACGGTGAGGCTCAAGGTTACCGGTTGCAAGAAAGACTATATGGCAAATAATACTGTGGTCAGTTGTTTCGGACGAACTTTAAGGCTTTCACTGCAGAACGGTCCTTCAGTGGTTGAGCTCGCTTTTGGTAAGGTATTGTGTTTTACATATGAGATTGAGTTCTTGTGTTCTAAACACTGACTTAAGATATGTGCAATTATATGGCACAGATTGGCAATAAGCACATCGTTCAACTAAACTAAGCTGGCGCTGGTCATATGCTTAAGCACTGGTTATCTGTTCCAGTCACAACTCTGTGATATTTTAGCAGATGCGATGGGTAGATGCGCCCTGCATCGACTTATTGACCTACTGTTATTACAGAAGTCAGTACTTGCTGTATTTTTTTCGCAAAATGGCAAAAATACGGTCGCGTTCTCTAAGAGTATGTATCATTTGCATAATTCTATTAAGCTATGATTCAGAGCGGTATGGCAGTGCATCCATGCAGTACAGGTTTTAAATTATCATGGAA